ATCTGGCCTGCGATGGAGGGTGGTGGCTGTTTCTCAGGCCTGCTTGATGCTGGGCCAGGGGACTGTACGCCTCTAGACCCTTAATGCAGGGGAGTACCTAGCCAGTTTCCCCAACCTTCAGGGGACTTCCTGGTCTCTTAAACCAGTATGGGTTATACTTGAAGGACCAAGAAATGGGTGAGTATCAGATAATGAAAACATCATTTCAATTCTATCAAGTAGACTGGTAATAATCTATTTCCTCTGACATCTTTACAAGTTTTACTTTCTTGGCTTCCCACCCCCATTTTAAAGGAAATAGTACTCACTGTAGCTAATTTGGGGATTGAAAAGCCACAAAAAAATAATATTAAAATCACTCACAATTCTGTCACCTGAACTTGATCCCCATTTAACATTTCAGTGTACACCTCCAGCCCTGTGTTAGTCTGTTCTGCCTCAACTTGATCCCCATTTAACATTTCCGTGTATACCTCCAGCCCTGTGTTAGTCTGTTTTGTGTTGCTGTAAAGCAGTGATTTTCAGCTAGTGTGCCATGAGATGTGCCGAGAAAATTTTTAAAGGTCATTAATTAAATTATTTTCAAAAGATGTTTAAAGCACAGTAAGTATTTTTTTACTCTTTTTTTTTGATCCGCATAATTTAAGTATGCCATCAAGTGTGCTGTGAGATTAAAAACAAAAAAATGTTGAAAAACACAGCTATAAAGAAAAGAGGTTTATTTGGCTCACAGTTCTGCAGGCTGTACCAAAAGCACGGCACCAGCATCTGCTTCTGGTGAGGGCTTTAGGGAGCTTCTAACCAGGGCAAGAGTGAAGTGGGAGCAGGTATGTCACATGGAGAGCGAAGGAGCCAGAGGGAGGAGGAGGTGCCAGGCTCCTTCAAACAACCAGTGCTCCTGTGAACTAATGAAGTGCGAACTCACTCATTATCAAGGGGAGGGCACCAAACCATTCATGAGGGATCCACCCCCATGACTCAGATACTTCCCACCAGTTCCCACCTCCAACTTTGAGGACCATATGTCAACATGAGGTTTGGAGGGAACAAACATCCAACCAGTATCAGTGTCATCTACATATATGTATGTTACAGATGATACATATATTTATATTTTAAACATATCAGGATCACAGAATACATGCCATTTGTAATGTGCATTTTCCTTTCCATGTGTTGTAAGTCCCAGTGTTTTTAAATATTCTTCAAGACTATCGTTAGTTCTAGAGATCTGTTCTCCTGTGCAACAGTGAGGACTATAATTAATAATACAGTACGGTATAGCAGTAATTAGTCAAGAGAATGAGTTTTAGGGACTCTTACCACAAAATAAAATGAAAGAAAAGAAAAAACTATATGATTATGCTTAACTATAGTAACCACTTCATTGTGTATATGCATATCAAGATAAGTATATCAAAGCATCATGTTTCATACTTTTGAATGTATTCAATAAAAGGGAAAAAAATCACTGTAATTCCTCCATAGCATTCAAGTACTATTACAAAAGGTGCTGTGATGAGCATCAGCCATAAATCTGGGCCCCCGTCTCTGGATTTGTCCTTGAGTAGATCCAGAGGTGGCATTGGTGCCTCAAGACCAGTGCTGTGTGGGGCAGACTGTGCCCTGCAGTGGCACATGGCTTGGCACACCCACTCATCTGCCTGGAAGTGCCTGCCCCCTGGGCTCTTGCCAACACCGTATACATTACTTGTTTTGAGTCTGTAAGAAAAAGGCATCTTGTTTTAATAAACAGCGGTAATCGTGTTTGCTGACCATTTCCTTCCTTTCCTATAAGGAGGACTTCTCTACTGCTTGCAAGATACTACTCTTATGTGTTAGAAAAGTCTTTTTTCCAGTTGATCATTTGCCTTTAAATATTCTAAGTGGTTTCTTTTGATATGTTTTTTAAAAGGTTAAAAGTGTTACCAATCTGTCAGTCTTCCCTGGATTTTTCTTCTTTCGCTACTATTTATAAAGACCATATCCCATTAACACATAGAAACTTATCTTTTTTTTTCCTAGTTCCTTTATGATTTTTTGCATCTAAAATTTTAATTCATCTAGCATTTGTTTTGATATGTAGTATGGATTGGATCTCACTTTTTTTTAGTCTCATAGTTTTTATTTTTATGATCTATGTTGTTTCACCAACATGGATCAAATAGCTGATTATTTCCTCACTGGTTTAAAATGCTACCTGTATTGATTGTTATAATCTATATTCTTGAATCAATTTCTGAGCTTTCTGTTTTGTTCCACTGATCTATTTATTCCTGTACCAGCACCAAATCACTGTAGTACTTCTGTATTTAGTGCAGACTTACTGTCGTTATTCTTCCTTTTCAAAATATTTGTGGCTATTTTCACCAATTTTATTTTTCTAGTTCGGGGATTAGCAGGAGTTTTTGCTGAAAAGGCCAGATAATAAATATTTCAGGCATTGTAGGCCTTAATAGTTTGTCACAGTGTTCAACTCTGCCATTCCAGTGCAAAGCAGCCACAGACAATAGTAAATGGGGCTGTATTCTAAGTAAGCCTTGTTTACAAAACAGAGCACGGGTTGGTTTGTCCTGAGCGTGATAGTGTACCATCTCTTGTTTTTGATGAATACATATATATTTTGAGATGAGGTCTTGCTGTGTTGCCAGGCTGGACTCAGATTCGTGGACTTAAGTAATCCTCCTCCCTCAGCCTCCTGAGCAGCTAGCTGGGACAATAGGCACCTGCCACTGGGCCTGCCAAAGTTTTGACTTTGTCGTGTCCTTCCATCCTCTTATCGCCCTTGCAAAAAGTATGTGTATATTTGTATATATATTATATATATACATATATATAGTATATTATAAATATATATATGTAGAGAGAAAGGAATTTGTTGTAGATGGTTTGGGAGAAACGTGACGGACGTCTGAATAACAAAGGCTTCCCATCTCACAGCACTGAGTATTATTTTGTCTATCCCACAGTTTTATGGTTTCCCTCATACAGCTCCTGCAATTCCTGGGTAACTTTCCTCCAAAAAACCTTTGCAGTGTTTTTCATTCTACTTGTCATTATGAATGGGGTCTGCGGCTGGAGTTCCACAACTCCCTGCCTATTCTGTGGTTTGCTAGAACAGTCACAGGACCTGGGGCTGCAGTCTACAGCCCATCAGCAACAGGGGAAGACACATCTGGCAGGGCTCCTGCCTACACTCTCCCCCACCCAGAAAGTGCTCCAGCCTCCAGCATCACGCACAGCAACCATGATTCTGCAGAGATTTTATGGAACTTTTGTTTCCACTTCGAGCTCTTTGTTTCAGTTCTACATACCGAGCATGTACAGAACCTGCACTCTGTTCTTGGAGAGAACACGATGAAACCTGGGGCAACTCGTAGCTGGCAGGCTCTGCACTGACCTTGGGCCTTGTCGCTGTTACAGTCCTGGAATCCAGTCCCTGAGGTGAAGCTCTGGGACAGACCTTCTTCCCAGATGCTTTTTTGTCGGGCTTCTCCAGTGAATCATCAGGAATGTTCACCTCACTCAGCTCATTCAAATGAAAGACACTCCTCAACTGAAGTGTGTAGGCAGAAATCTCAGGAAACTGACTGATTTGCGGTGGAGAAAGTCATGCTGTTCTTAAGACAGGCTTCACTTTACCTGTTGGAGGGACTGGTTCTCTTTGTAGTTGACCTCCGTTACCAAAAAGACTAAAAGGAATAAAGCCGCTTTCATAGCTGGGGTTTCATCCCCGTGTCAGACGGGGCTGTAGCCTCCTTGAGGCCAAGGGGCAGCTAGAATTTTAACTGTTTCTTCTTTGTTGTTACAGTTCTTTTTTTGTTTTGTTCTGTTTTTATTAAATCATAACTGTGTACACTGATGCATTTATGGGGTTCTCAATTAGCATTCTGAGAGTGAGACTCGTAGGCCACGAATGCTACTGCGTGCTGTGCTTAAATTCTATCTGCAATGTAAGTGACTTGCACAAGCCTCCTCTCCAAACTGTTATGACACAGGTCACAGGAATAAAGTCGGGGCTCGCAGTCCACCCCGCCAGGATGAGGCCCAGCAGGACGGGGTGGAGCTGCAGCGTCAGGAGAGCCTCTTACCCTGCCAAGATCTGAACAGGGGCCAACAGAGCTCTCCTTTCCACCTGCTGGTTTCCCACTTCCCTCAGGATTAACTTAATCTTTTCAGATTTAGAGGCTACAGATTGCTTCATATTCCTCAGGATGCTTCTTGCTCATCTTCCGGCCATTTCTTGTTATCTTTGCATGTCCCCTTAGCAGGAACTGTCCTGGTTCCCTGCTAGTCTATTGCAGACCTCCTGAGCCCTTTCATACATGCTCATGTTTGTAGTTTAGACACATTTGCAATCTCTTGCCTGACCAGGCAAAGGTGTACCTGTGGTTTAAAGCCTGAGACAGCTCCCTCCCCCACTGTAGGATACTGCAGGGGGTGGACTCTGTGAGGTCTTTAAGGTGAGGCCTAATCTTGCATTAGAGTAGATTTTCCAAGAATTTTGCAACCTACATTAAGTTTTTTCCATAAATTAGGGCTCCTCTTCTCTCCCTATCATCTTTTTTATCTGGCCACACAGGAAACAGCAATTAATTTTTATATTAGCTCAAATAAAACATAATTTGGAAGATAAACCAGCTCTGGAAATATTATATATCTGTTTTCAAAATTTCTCTCCTTTCTCCTCTTCATGCCTTCTCTGCACAGTAACCCAGTCACCCTGCTTTCTCATTAAACTGAATAATTAAGAAATACTCCAAACACAGTGATTAGGATTCAAAGATCTCACCAGCTTACCCAACTGCATTTAAACATTGACTCTAGGGTTGGTCTCTCTCTCTCTCTTTCTTTGTTTTCTTCTCTCTCTCTCTCTCTTTTTTTTTTTTTGATTTGATTCTCAAATTGTGTATGTTTCTACCTGTGAAGACATGTCCGCCTAGTGGTGACTGTCACATGTGACCCCCTTGGTAACAGAATGTCACTTGCATCTATTTCAGAGTTCCCTAAAAAGAAGAGGCAGTCGAGAAATGTACAAAGAGAAGAAAACCTTTAATCAGGTAAGCAGAGGTTTTCATTCTAATGTTATATCTCCCAAAGAGGAAGTCATCTCATTTTGAATTCTCGCAAAATGTATTAGCTTTGCCTTTAAAACATTCAAAGAAATGTTACCTGGCAAAATGTTTGGACTCATTCAAAACTCCATTTTCTTTCCAAACCCACAACTCCTCCCTTTTGTTTCTCTCTCACACTGATAAGCCGGTGATTTTTTCAGGAAAGAGAAGAACAAACTGACTTTGTCTGCAACAGAATGAGGTGTGGTTGAGGGGCCCCGGCAGTCCTCATAACTGGTGAAAAGAATCTGGCCTTCAAAGTCATGCACACAGTGAAAGAATATAGCCGCCCAAGTGTGGGGTCATTCATAAGCCATTGTCTTGAGTGTTTTATTACTTAATGTGCAAACTGACTCATTTGTGTATCTTAAATTGTCCTAATTGAAAGTAAAAGATTCTAGCAGAGAAATGGTTGGGGAAAAAAATGTCTAGCTCTTTCTATGTACACTATATGTGTTCTTCAAAATTTTCTTAGCTTTTCTGAGTTGTTTTACTAGATTCCTTTCTTCTGCTTTTTTTTTTTTTATTGCTGCTAGTATTAGATGTTAGAGGGAACAAAGGTGTTATTGGGATATCAGCTCACTGAACTCCAGGAGAAGTAGTAATTAGAGAGACACAGTAAGTCCTGGTAGCTAAGAGAGCTCAAAGCCCTGTCCCTGTGAACTCACTTCTTAAGGAGCCCATCTGGTTTCTCCATTCTCCAAACTCACTGATGCCCACAATGTCATTCCAGGAGGGCCAGCCCGTGTGAGCAGCAGGAATGCCAATGATTAGCTTTTCTATTCCATCCTCTGTAACCCCCCACCTCTCACGGAATCCCCTAATCACAGGGAAGTGAAAGTCTGCCATCCCCTGCTGCTCACATCCTCTCAGGGCAGAGTCTTTCTAATTTACTGGCTCTTGACCAAGGGAGATCTTTTCCTTAAAAGGGGAATTTCTGCTCCTTTGTAAAACAAAGACCATGGAATTGTATTGGCCTGTGGGTGAAACAGGCCAAGGACAGGAGCTGCTGCTCCTGGGCAGTACCTGGGGGGAGTTGAGCTGCCCCAGTCAGCCTGTGGGATTATTGAGAAAGGAGTTTCTGTTCAGCAGAATGGTGGACTGGAGCGCCTTGGGAACTGCAGGTCTGCAGCCAAAATTCAAAGGAAGCTGGTGCCCCGGCGCAAGGTAGGCACGTGGGCAGACGGCCGCTCGGGCTGCTGGCTAGGTGGCAGACTTGCAAGCCCAAGAATATATGCAGAGAGCGATATATTTCTGATGCTTGGCAAGGCCTTTCCTGTTGGTGGTGATGGTGGTGGGTCTGTGTGTCTCCCCTCCATGCCACGCTTGCCTCTCTGCCAGCCACAGGAATCATGTCCTGTGGAAAGTTTGACTTGACCTTCTGCTTTCCCACTGCATTCCTGGAGCTAGTCGATGATCTCTTGAAACCAGAGCTTGATGTCCCTAAGTCTTGATGTCCCTAAGGATTTGGCCTTGACCCCCTCCCCTGGAGTCTTGCCAGGGTTTTAGAACATCTGATGTTACAAGATGGGATAAGTATCCAGTCTCCTGCAGCTGAGGCTGTGATTCCTATCTAACTGGAAGGAACAGGCGGGGCTCAGCTTCCCTTGGGGCTCCCTCTCCCATACCCCAGTCCCCACAGGCACAGTGGGCCTGCCCCAGCTGCCCCACAGAGGAAGTCTGGTCCCTCATTGATATACACTCTCCTGTGGCTTCAAAGATTGTCTTTCTTTCAAACACTGCTTTAGTCTCGGTGGCAGGCCTCGGTGCATGCATGGGTGTTGCACCGAAATTACAGCATGCTCTGATCATGTGTTAGATCCCTCGGTGTGTGTATGGCTTCTTTCTTTAAGGAACAAGAAGACTTTCTGGACATTTTATCAATTCCCAGGTAATCTACAAATCAGACACTCATTAGGGTATGTCATAGAATCTTGGTGCTTTCACATCCCTGGGTTTAGGTTCAAGGCAACGGAGGAGAATTGTTCTGCTTACAGACAGACTGGTAGGGGATGGTGGGTAGAGGAGTTTTCTGAAATCAAGGGGATTGGAGGGCTCTCTGGAATCTCCTACCTGTACAAGATGGGCAGATAAGCACTTAAAACCCTTCTCAGAGATCCTGCCTCCTTCCCTCCTCCAACTTCTCAGTTCAACCTGTGGGGAGACCCTCTGGGGAAAGGGCCCACAGTCCCTGATCCGGACTCTGATCCAGACTCTGGTTTAAGATGAAGCCTCCTGCACTATGCAGGCAACTCTGCCCCTGTGTCTACCTCTCCCAGCTTCCCTTCCACCACATCACATCTTTACCAGCTGCAAGTTTGCATGGAAGTAGAGTCACAACACTGGTCACAACACATGACCCTGCCCACCCTATTGTCTGGTCCAGTCCTGAGCCCCAGGCTGGTGGTGAGTAGAGGGTAGAGTAAGTTTTCCTATAGCTGTTAATGGCATTGTCTTCAGTGATCTCTGCTGCTATGGGTTTTTCCGCTTCAGCGGTGGAGATGGGATGATTTAGGTGAATTTGGACAGTGACACACACTGGGTCCCAAGCTGATAGAGTTGAGGGTAGGCCCCCATCTTCTAGTCCCAAGCATTTAACTTCCAACCTAATTTATTTACAAAGTATTTATATTCTGTCTCCACTGATATGTGTTTTAGTTTAATTTAAACTCTTTTCTTTCATGTGAACAACACAGACCTGTGTATGTTTTTTGGATTTCTTGCAAATCTATGTTTGATGAAAATTGAAAGTGTGCTTTTGAGTCTCTAGAAAGTTCTAAGAAGTTGGGGTTGTTTAAAGAAGCATACCAGTTTGAGGCACATATAATAGTAGGTGCTTGATAAATATTTACTGAAAGAATCAATGAACAGGCGCTAAGGCGCCAGCCACATACACCTAAGGTGGTGGGTTCGAATCCCCAGCCCGGGCTGCCAAACAACAATGATGGCTGCAACCAAAAAATGGCCAGGCGTTGTGGCAGGCGCCTATAGTCCCAGCTACTTGGGAGGCTGAGGCAGGAGACTCGC